CTGGAAGAACTCGAAAATGAAAGAAGACGCGATGTTATATCTCATTTCATCCTTCGACTTGCATTTTGTCAAACTCCTGAGCAGACTAAATGGTTTATCCAACAAGAAATGGACTTATTTAAATTTCGCTTTTCAAATTGTACGTTTTCTACAAATTTTTTATTCGAAAGATGAATGTTTAAAACGTTGTTTTGACCAGAAATTATTCTTAAATAGATAAAAATACCATCTTTTTCTTCAATATCACGATTTACTTTCATTTTCAACATATGTAGAAATGCTGTTCTCTCTCCATCTCCATCTTTATGGTTCCTTTTATCTAAAATCTTTTGCTTTGTATTTATCAGGAAATCAATACCTAAATCCTTTTCAAGCAGTATTAAAAACATCTTTGAGTCAGTATTTCCCGCATATAGGAATTCCTTTCCAGATGTGACCTACCAAAATCCAAAAAATCCTTTGTCTTTTAAGCACAAAAGATTTTTAATAGCTGTAGTTCATTACAGAACTGTCGTGTTCTTCATCTTATCACTACCACATCATCCTGGTACCACACCCAAATAACTTCCATAACTTCCTTCGATGAATTTTCTCTCAACAAAATTCTTGAGTTTCAAAGGAATGACGTTTTGAAAATTAATTTCGCTTGAAGTAAAAATTCCACTCAGGTACGCGAACTGTGAATGTGCAGACTGTCATATGGTGGAGGAGCGACGACGACTGAATAACATGCTAAGTTTGAGACGATTGGATCCTAATCATGCAGCAAGTCGTTCAACAACGGGTAAAAAGATACGCGATCCGAAATGTGCATTGTGCTCTGCACATGGCAATAAACAACCGCTTAGAGGACACAAAAAAGCGCAGTGTCCATTTCTGAAGTGTGGATGTCATCTGGTTCGCCTTTTCTATCATCCGTCATTTTGCTTGAAACATCAACGGAGGAGGAAGAGGACATATTTCTTGAATAACTAATCTAATTCAATCTTTTACATCAAAATTAAAAAAAAATCTTAATATTGGTTTTAAGCATGTTACTTCACTAATTTACGTTGGAATTGAATAAAAATCTGGAAATCTATCCAAAATCGGCAAAGTCGGCACAATAGAAATTTGAATTTCTAGCATATATTGTGATTTGGGAGTACAGTGGTAGAATTTTGTCGATTTTCTGTCTCGTCTTTGATTTCACATTTTTTAAAATTAGAATCAGTTACTGTTTAGTAACAGTTGGATTTGAAAGATGTAAGGAGAAAATCAACCTGAAAATTACTTTTAGTGCGGTCTGGTTGAAAATCGACGAACACTAATGGCCCGTCAAATAAAACTAAGACGAGATCAACAGAAACAACGGAGGGCGCAACTTAATGCTGCTGCCGCCGCTGCAGGCCTTACTGCTACAACAAACATCGCTGCAAACAGTTTAATTTTGGAGCAATCGAGTTCGGAAGTTGAATACGTTTCTACCGACTTATCAGGCAAGGAAAGATCAAATGCAATAATTAGAGCTTCTAAGGAGATAAGATATATATCGACTTGAAGTTAAAATTGTCAACTTAATTAACAAATTTCAAGTTTACCAATGCCACGATTTTTTTCAGAGCAACTTGGTGTGTCGGACAATAGTGCAAAAATAGAGGAACCGGTGCGTGTACCACCGCTCCTGCCAGTGTTACCAAAACCACAAATTATGGAGTCCAGACCATCTATCCCAGTAATTTTCCAGCCAACTGCAATATTACCCACAACGTCAATGTAAGTTTGGAACTTCTCATTTGCAAAAATCAGAATTCCTTTATCAAAGGGATATACAAGAATCTGGAAAGTACGGTTTATGGCCATATTGTAAGTATGAGGTATCAAACATTTAAGCAAATCTATTAGCTTTTTTTTTAACTGGAAAGCAAGTGAATGATGAAGATACAGCTACAGTTAAACCAATTGAAGCCTAGCTTATTTTTTGAATAAAGCAAAAAGTACAAGAACGATAGATCTCCTGGCCGAACCTAGACAGTGAGTATATAAACAATATGACGATATAATATGATTAAACAACACCACTGTATAATTCGAAAATCTATCTGCGGAAGGTTCTGTGGGATCATTGAAAAGTATGACTGAATCAAAAACCTGATTGATGGATGCAAACAAAAATACCCAGCTCCACTACATCTTATCTGTCTTCGGATTTTTCAGGTTTATTTCACCAATGGATAATATCGATTTGCGTTTTATGTCTCTAAACTATCACCATGTGATGAATCCAATACCGCTCCAGTTCGCTCCGATCTTACCGTATACGCCAACGTTACCATTTCTGTCAGCACCTTAAGTAGACCTCTTCTTATGCATTATTAATCTGAACAGCTAAGTTATCAGTACACAACCTGGTGTTAGCATGTAATTTGTACCATACGTACACATACACGCAAACAATAGATTCCTTCCTTCCCACTCTCCATTCCTATTACATCTTTTGCTTCAATATTTTTCGGCCAGTTCATTTTATCGAATAGATCTAATTCACTCGTTGTGGCTTCTTTCTTTCAACCACGAAGAAGGATAGGAAACGCGATTCCTCTAATCCGCGATTAAATCTTAAAACAAATTTCCTAACACCACAGAACCAATTAGCCTATCTCTTTTACTGAACTGCTTTTGTAAGAAATCGGGTCGAACTGGCCTCATCTCAGGCCAATAAATGAAGCAAGTTGCCCTAATGCCTTTTCACGTTAGTTAGTAAGATTTTAAAAATCAGATTCTTAGTCCCACTGATCTTTATTTAAAAACAAAGCATTGGGCATCTCGCTTGAGATTATAAATGCACAAATACAAAACTAATAAAGTTTATCCTATGTTATTTCGGCTACCCTAGCATCTGTAATATATTAATCGTTTGTTTTGTCACTGAGTCTCTGTTGATGATGTCGTTCCCTGTTTCAGAATTCAAAAACTCAGTTTCGCGATTTTTTTAACCAATTCAGTTCAATAAACTTTCACATGGTAAATTGAAGGAAACAAAGCAGAGGTAAAGCAGAAATCACAAGCGTTCACTTGCTCGATTTGCAAGATTTCGTAAATTACCATATACTTTTGATGGTGGACTACCTGAAACATAACTTACATATGTACTGTATTTATTTGCAAGATTTGCAAGCCAAGATTTCGCCAACTTGTTTTTGACATGCTACTGACTTAACTTTCCATGGATAAACTACCAGTTACCGTGTATAACAAAGTGGGAAATGAGGCTTGACATCTTAAGTGCTTTTCAATTTCGCCAAAGCATGAAAGTTTTTTTCGAAAAAAAAAGAAACCCATGATCAAAGAAGAGATTGCATTCCTGGCTATCCGAATATTTTGGTAAGCACCAAGTAAATGAATTTTGCTGTTGGCGAGCACAATACGAGTCTGTAATATAATTTCACTGAGTTATAAACAAAGCCACGTAAATGCCATGACGAAGCTAGCGAACTCCTACTGAAATATTAATCTGCGCCCAAATTACTATATCAGCTTATCATTTATTACACATCGTATTAAAATTACTACGACCTTAGTTATGTTTTCAATCGTAAATTTGGTCCGCCCGTCTTTTCCAGCAATTCGTCCGATAGCACGTGACAAGTGCTCTCCTTTCAGTGGCTTAACATCATTAATTTCGAAACTTTCTAAGAATAAATGATCCAGCCTGATCAGCGCCACCGCATCATCAACATCGAAACCCAAAACAAAAGCACGGACGAAATCCTCAGCCTGAAAACACAAATTGTTTCGCAAAAATCCTTCGGAAAAAGCAACCTTTTTGATATATTTTTTTAGATAAAAGTGACCAGCCTTTTGCAAATGTGTAAGATCCTCAGTCTCATTCGATGTACGAATTTCCACATTTCGTGATTTCAGGTTGAATCTAAAAACTTTTGTTTATGTATCCGCCTGTCAATCGATGAAATGTATACAAGAATAATGCTTTCAACAAAATTCATTCTGATTCAAGTTTCAGTTAGAGCGCGACTGGTAAATAAATTTATGTCGTAAACTAGATTACAATGGAAAGTTCGAGAAACAAACGGAAATGTATTAGAACAAAGGACGCAGAAACTTTCTAGGCAAATAATATGATTATTAGACATGGCAAAGTTGTATGGTCAATTAGAGCTAGCATCATGACTACGACGCAATACGAGCAGTTCCTATTTCCACGGAAAAAAAATCTATTTAATGTAATTTGAAGTTGAGCAAAAAATTTGCTAAAATTTGCTAAGACATAGGGGTACCTTATCTGCAGATGTAACTGCTTGACGACCGGCAAAACAATTTTCGTCCAGTGTTCTTTTAGTGGTGAATAGCGATGTGGTGGCACTGGAACTTTACGAATCTCAGTATTTGTTATATTCTTATGTTTCTTGTGGTGTGTTTGTTCTGCAACATTAATTTCAGATTCTTCTGATACCAGTTCAATGTCTTTACGGTTTCTTTTCCGCTTTCGTACCTGAACAGAAACAATGAAAGAATAGAGCGATCTCTACCGGGCTGTGCAAAATGTAACTTCTAAAAATAAGGACCAAATTCCGACACCCCAGCAATCGTTCTCATGTTCGATCAATATAATAAATAAAATAATAATGAAAATCTATGATATTTCAGTCTAAGAGTCCTCCGCCTGCTTCCTATATGCATAATCAATTGTTAATTAGTCACTGCTCCATTGAATTATCTGTGCAAATATTAGCGACACCAAGTACTGATCGATGGAAACCAATGAAATCTGGTGTATAAAGCAAAGGGTAATTTTTTTGCACTCATAATAAAAGAAAAGAAAAACAGAAGGAACTTGATAGTTTGAATAGACGCTCCCGGCCATTTGAAACCAGATCCTTCTGACTTCAGAAAATTGATTTGTAGTTGGTAAAAAGACCCTACCAATCAACGATTACAAAGACGAATAGTAATAGTGATGGTCAGTAGAAGCATTAGTGATAAGGAGGTATCATATACGCAAATCTGGTCATTTTTGCATGCAAATTAAGGAAGAAAAAGACGGAAAAATAAATTATTAGCTACCAATGGAACGAAATTTGCTGCAACCAGTTAATTATCAAATGTCGAAATTACCAGCTTACCTTCTTAACTCATTTATCTCGCCTCTTCTTTCTTATAACAATCTTAATTTATTACAAGTATTAATTTACTCGTTGCGTGCGGTCTTTAGCCAAAAGAGATCTTAGTCGTTTTTTTAGTGCTATAAAACACAACATATACACAGACATATACATACATAGATATTAAATAGAGAACACAGTCAAAAGCTACCGACCATTTGATTTAAAAAAATTTTTAATGGCATTTTTGCTATCTACCCGCCTGCATTGAAGGTCCACATAGAGAAAAAGAGAAAATGAGAAAGAAAGAATATTATATATGAGTGCCATTAGAGTTTGTGTCTAATGTTTCAATGCGGTAGGTCTTCCTTCCCTACCTTCTTTTTTGTAGAACCAATTGCAAAAATATACCAAAAGCAATAAAATTTAACCAACGCATTTTTATGCGATTGTTGGTGATAAAACGCAACAGTTGCGTGTATCGTCATAACACTTTGTGCTGTGTTGCGGAAAGTGCACTTTGATAAAAAATGGAAAACCGAACACTTCAAAATGGGTGCTCACTCTTTCACAATGCAACGGGGACCATCCTTTTTGCATCTCTATGTTGCTCTTGTTTAAGATGTTAATTACTGTGTAAATTTTTAATTTTCCACTAAGATACAGGAAAGATTAAAAAAGCAGTTCGCTTAGTTCATTTTGAAATGTTCTTCAAGTAAAATAATGCTTACTGCATTTGTCCTGCCCTAGTGCAGTTTATTTATTTTGAATAATACACCTCCACTCAAATATCTCTTGGAGTTACCTACGAAAATTAAGGTGTCATCAAACTATGCTTAAATAAATAAATCAAAAGACATCCAAGCCAGCCACATATCTCCTGACTATTTTTGGACAATCTGTTGGATTATTTGAGGAAAATTCTGCAGATTATAAAGTATCTTCCTGTTTATCAAATGATATGAAATGAACAAATGAAGTTTAAAGAACTTCCTTAAAGAAAAAGTCTATGTGTTTAGTCCAAAAATCTTACCGAATACAAAACTATACGGATTGAGCCGTTAAACTTGAAAACACTTCAAATTCATAAACAAAGCAAGCTCACCACGCTAAATCTCTCTTCTGTCAATGGGATGATGTCTTTGTCTTCCATCCGGTCAGCCAAGGCAGTAAAATGTATAGGGATTGTTTCTACCAAGTCCGGCATTTCATCATCGTCGACTGCTTCCATCGGTAAATCAGTTTCAACAGTCGTTCCTTCCATAACCAACTTGAAATACAGACGATAAGCATTTATTTCTAAACTCAAAATTTCGCATTTAGTCTATATTCCCTTTTCCGTTTAGCCTATTTTCCATTACAGTCATTGATCACTTATTAATTTAAAGAAATTTAGTTATCTTGAAAAAGACATAGGTAAAATTAGATAAAAATATAATAATAACTGTGTCAAACGACATATAACAACACCAAATAATAACACATGCAATGAAATTTTATTGAAAACGAACAGCAGTTCAATTCTTCTAACAAAATAGCAAAATAACAATAATATTATGTAGTCACAGCTGCATGACACGTTCAAACAGATCAACCAATGAAAAACAAGTAGTAAAATCATTTTTAACAATTTAACTCTGCTGCCATTATCAAGAATGTAATAAAAATTATTTATAAATTCGAGAGAGACATTTGCGCTAAAGTATAATCCAGAAATGCGGCATTTTGCCGGGCTCTTGTTAAGCGATCGAAGTGCCTACAAATTTTTCCATTAGTAATTTTCGCAGTTTCCCTTAAAATAATACTTCTCCGACTGAATCCGTCAAAAAAGTAGCAAGCTCTTAAAACAATTTAAATCTCCAAACTTTTTATGAGAAAGAATTGGACTGAAATCATACTTCATACCTGGTTGTGTATGGAATATATGCTTCTATCATTGAAGCAAAGTTAGGCATTTTTAATAACTGCTTGGGAGAGAACGAATGCAAAACGCAATAAAGCACTAGCTGAGCAACCTAAAAGCAAATATCAAGAATTTCAAGCGTTCGTCGATGGTATTTGCTTATTTCGAGTCCATTTATAAATTTATGAGCATCGAACTATTACGATTCGTAGATTCGCAAAGCAGGGGTTCTGATAATACTTAGATTTACATATACTGAGAAATTTACTTAAAAAAGAAGCTTATTATCTTATGCCATTCTTTGCCAACATTTTTCTGACAGAAGTAGTAACTCCAACTGAATCCCTCGAAAAGGTAGTAAACTCTTGAAAATTTAAAGGAAAATGCGCGAAATATAAACGAAAACTAAACACTAGCCGTGAAACTCAAGCTGATAAAATACTTACATCTGCTGTTCGACTGTTTGTATTCCACTGGGCGGCAAAGTCCAATAGTACCACCAACTCTTCTTCTCGTAATTTTTTGACAGCACAGTGCAATTCATCTGATTTTAGCGCTATCATTCCCTGCACTATTTTCAAGCAACTATAAAAACAGAATAAACGATCAACCTGTGAAGCGCATCTCCTAATCACATAATACGATTACTCGACATTTTGTACATAAAATAATTTGTATTCATTAATCTATCTGCTGAACATTTGAAATATATGCAATTGGAGAAGCGAATTTTCAAATTTCCTTATCTCTTAGAAGTTACAATCCCACAGTTTCTACAAAAGGAAGAAAGAAGATTTTTCGCAAAAACTTTATCTAATATGAAAACAGAGGAGTCACAAAGATATTCTGTACTTAAGCGTAAACATTATTTACACCAGGGCAAAGCAAAATTAAATATCACTTGCCTACAAAATTTTTTAAATTCTTTTAAGTCAATTTAAACAGCTCATTTGTGAGGGTTATAAATTCTAAATACCTGTACGGTCTTGCCAATGTCAGCGAAAACGCTAAAGCTTCGGCGTAATGATTCTGTTGCATCAGATTTGCTAGAATTTGTTCACTATGCGCCTTTTCTGCTCGATTACGTTCTTCTTCTTCGCGTTTTTTTTCAGAAATATCTTCCCAAATTCTTATTCGTCCATCACTACTCGCTAAAATAAAATCTTTGACAAACGTAATTTCCCAAAAAAAAAGCATGCGACAGAACCATTAGAAGAAATCGATCAAGTCCAACATAATTATCTAGTGATTAACGAAACTTTTATAAACAGGACTGGCAAATGATGGATAAATGAACACGAAAATGTGCTAAAATTTTGGAAGAATACCCGTAGCAAGTCGGCTTTCGTCATTTGCTACTTGTAAAGCCCATATTTTCTCATCATGTGCTTCTACCGTTGCGATGCATTCATTGGAGGCAATATCCCATATTTTAAGTAAGCCACCACTATCCGCAGATATTATCTGTTTCCCACCATTCACTATAACACCCTGAAAAACAGTAAAGCAAAAAGCTAGAACTCAAGAACAAAAAGCTGTTAGCAAGAAGGGATCTGAAAAGATTTACCATTTCAAGAAGAAATATGGAGAAAAATGGAATTACATTAAGTACGGCAGACGGATGTCCAGCTAATGTAGCGATGCAATCCCGACTTGGTAGCGAAAATATCCTGATCATACAGTCACCACTACATGTTATCACAGTCTGAACAGATTAATAAATAAACATCTTATGCAACTATCATTTCAATTTCGCTGCAAAATCCGAAAATGAAAGTTTTTGAAACCACCCTCTAATCTTTGTTTCCAATAATACATCTCGGATTATCATCGATATAGTGGAATGAGTTCAAAGAGAGTACTTAGCGAAAAACGCAACCTGAGTGCACGGTGAAAAACGAGCATCCCAAACTCCACGGCGATGGCCACTTAACATGCCACCGATAGTAAAATGCATTTTATCAGTATCAATATGCCACAACTTCGCTGTCTTGTCCATGGAACCAGTAACACACAAACGGTCATTCAAACTAATATCTAAGCAAGTTATATCCTTTGCATGGGCAACTAATGTTGCTGACGACTGCAGTTTCAAACTGAAAAAAGTCATATATCAATTGAAAACGTAATAAACACTAACAGAAGAGGGCTCACTAAAAGTGACTGTTTCAAAAGCAAAAAAGCATCAAGTGAGAAAAATGCTAAGTTCCAATAAATTAGTTCTTGTAAATATTCCTTGAATCAAAAAAATAAGTTTTGAACAAGAATGAACACCATCCCCAATCATATTAATAACATAAACTGTTGTTCAGTGCTGAAATGAACAACTGAACAAAAAAATAATACTTACTTTTCCATTCTTTCCTTGAAATTTTTTAGTGGCCATAATTTGATCGTTGTATCGTTTGATACTGAAACGACGAAACGATGCTTGGAACTGTTGGAATATCGCACACATGTGACATTATTCGTATGTCCAGTAGCTAAACCTACCTAAAAATTAAACATATATCATTAAAAGGAATAAAAAGAAGGAAAATATATAGAGGAATAAAGTATATGAAGAAATAAAAATAAATCTAAATAACCAATCGCCTTTTCCACTTTTATTTCTTCACCGTCGTTAAAGTCCACATGCCAAATAATAAAAGTGTTATCTTTAGAAGAACTGGTAAAAATCTTTGGATTCCATGGTGCAGTTGAGAGTGATAAAACACTGTCAGTATGACCTGTAATTTTATGAATTAAAACGAATACATGGCAATATCTCGTTACATGGATATACTGCTGAACAAATTTCATTGCCCATGAAATGCTTTCAGATGCTAAACATCATTTAATGCTTTATTCTGCTGGATGCATGTACCGGTATTGGAAGGCAACAATGATTTAAAAGTAATGCCAAAAAAAACGTAAATATCAAGTCATGTCCTAGCAGTCTAGCACACGAAAGTATTGGAGAGAAACAGAAATCTCTTCAAGAAAACGAATAGAAAGAGTTCATGCTGAAGGTGTTGTGAAGTGTATAATGTAGCATTTGCTAAACAAACATACCAGTAATAAGACGACAAGACCAAGTATTTATATTATAAAAACGTAATTCAGAACTGTTTGTGGCAGCAATCAAGTATTCCAGTTTCGGTCCAAAAAAACAAACATCAAAAATTTCATCATTGAAACCAGCAAACTGCCGCTCAATTATGAAAGTTTCCTCATCGACCCAAAAAACGTTGAAATCCGAGGTAGCCAAAAGAAATTTTTTGCAGACTTGGTTATAAATAATAGAATTAATGCGAGACCTGGAAATTCTTTAAAATAAAACCTGCAAAGCAAAACACCATTCTGCCCAAACTATGAATAAATAGCAAGTTGTTTCTATTTATCTTGTCTCATTAAGATAGGATTAAGAAAATAAGTCAAATACTGATTTGACATAATTATTCTGAGTTTGAACAATCGGGTCATATTTAAAAACTAAAAATCAAGGACGAAATCGGGAGACTTTCACATGATACGACAGATTATATAGTAAACATTGCTTCGAGCTCGCTTGAGACATTAAAAATTAAAATAAACTAACCCACATATACTTGCAGACCTTAGCAATTTTGCATTTTCCATATTCCAACATTTCAAAATACCTTCCTCTCCCACTGTGAACAACAATTCAGACACAAGAACTGCTGCTTCGATCGGCTCATACAAGGGAAGCACTTTCATTTTTTCATAACTATCCACATTAACGATTGAAAGCGTTTGATCACGACTCATAAAAACAACTTCCGGTAGCTGTCGAATAATTATGCTGACAATCTGGCTAAAATACAACAAAAATGGATGTATGAAACAGCAGTAAATGAACTTATAGAAATCAAAAGCATTATTAAACTAGCAAAAGAAAGTTAAAAACCGACATTCCCTAAGTTACAAATATGACAAGCTTATCTAGCTAACCTTGTGTGGTTAGTCCATCGAAAAACCAGTTTCCTTGAATTTTCCAAACAGAATAATGATGAGCTGCCATCAGTATAGCCAACCACTACACGAGATTTATGGAGAAATTCGATAGCACTTACAACGCTTGTACCTTTTAATGAACCAACACAGTTGCGTTCTTCGAGATTCCAAACCTAGATAATTGATTGAAGCTTTTCAAACAGTTCCTCATCTGTTAACCGTCAACATCAATCAATTTCGGAACATGGACGTGTACAGCATGGAAGTCAATATAACGTCTTTGCAGTATATTAACATATTACAGCTGATACGTCTGCAGCTATTCAAATACATATGCAGCGATTAGCTGCAATGACATAGTCGAAAATTCAAACCTTGACAACAAAATCAGCTGATCCAGTAGCAAGTAACGTGTCACCTCTGGAAAATCTTATGACTAAAACCGGTGCCGTATGAGTTGACTTCCATTGACGAACTATCACAGGATTTACTACTTCAGATCCATTTTCTTGCGGAAATAATCGATAATTTCGTAAAAGACCATTAGTATAAGCCACAATGATGGAATTGCAATCCTCGTTCAACAAGAAAGTTGATACTCTTAACAGATCCTCTTCATCCCCAATCTTGTAACTATAACAAAATAAAACCCTTATTTATAATAAAAGGATATAAAGCATTAACTCACAGCCAGTTCAGCTTAAATTCATTTGAACAGAGAATTTAATAAATCTCCCATTTCGAAGTTTCTAAATCATCGCACACATCTATTATTCGCAATGGCTGGTAGCTGATTCCCAAATTCATTACTCCGCACTCTTTCTTCTACCAGTCACCATTGGGGCTCCATATACTTAGACTTTCCATACATTCATAACTGAACTTTAATAAATCAAGTTCCTACCAAAATAAAAGAATGATACGCTGAACTACCTTTCGCTTCCATTATCAACATTCGAAGCCCTGATATAGTTGCCACAAGCTGAAAACAATGTTTTCCCGTCCGAACTCCATTGGATTGCTCCACCTGTATAAATAGCTTCAACAGAATGAAACAATCCTATACTGTTCAGCTGATTCTTCATCCACTCTATAAAATCAGAGAATACTTCCTTCCAACAAATATTATCATAAAAAACATTCAGAAAGAATGTCTTCAAAGTCGCTCACCCAGAAAGGAGAATAGAAGGAATCAAATCAGCCAAAATAGTTCATGAAAAGTAGCTTCAGAAGATAACCGATACTTTCAAAATCCTTTACATTACACAAAGGTGTATTAGTCTTCCAGAAATACTTATTTCTACCGAAAACCAGCAATAACGTTATTCATATCAAAAAAATGACAATTGATCTGATCCTTTTTAATAAGTTTTCTAAACAAAATCCTTCCTTTTCATCCTTTTAACAAGAACTCTTTCCAACAAAAAAAATTCTTAGTAAGTTGCAGAAAATTTGTTGGGACCATAAATTGTTCACGTAATCAAAAAACTAGGCATTGAATTCATAAAATTGAAACAGTAAATAACAATGAGGAATAATACATGCATTGGCATTGGAAACCGAAATGTGGTATATTGACTTCGGTACGAAACGTATATGACAGCTTACTATTCGGATCCTGCTTCGTTATAACATCAAAACAATCACTTTTTCTTGCTCTTTGTATTACAGTGACATTTAAAACTCACTGAAAAAACAAAAAAAAAAAAAAATAAAATAAGGAAGTCAACATAATCAATTAGTTTCTGCATCAACGCTTTTTGCATCATACGTTAACCGTGGCCAGCTTGCTACATCTTCCTGTTTTAATACTAATTCCAGTTTTCTTTCACCAATTATTACCTGCAAAGATATTGATAACGCCCATTAACTCTGTTACAAAGACTAAATTTATGAAACAGAACTTTTCCACTTAAATAAATAACCAAACCCTGAAAAGATACAGAAGAAAAATTAGGCAAAAAAAAAAACTACCTTTGATGCATCTACATTGATTCTACCAAAAAGTTCATAATTCAGCTGCGTCTCTTTTGCACCGAAACCATGTACGACTTTCATTTGTAATATAAGACCATTGCTTTCCACCTTGCATGAATCCGGTACTGCTCCTTTACAGTAAATATTCAAATGAATGAAACCACCTCCGCTAAACCAATCTTCACGAATTTTGTCAACGCGCTCTATCTGAATAGATGAATGATGAACTTTGATTAACCATCGAACGAGAAAAAAAATGACATGTTTCTGGACTCGATTTCAAAGTGGAACTGCATTTTTGTCTACTCTTCTGTTTACACATTCTGAGAATTCCGGTTGGACTTTTAGTATCAAGGGGAGAAAAAAAAATTTCGAGTATTCTTACCTTTGTCCAACAATGCTTTCCTGTTGTGCAGCCTTTCTGCTCAAGAAAAATGCTAAAATCGGAAGTTTTCTTCTCACAGCATGACCAGTATTTCATTCCTTCATGAAATATAGCTACACCACTGTGATACATACATTTCTCATTTTTGCTCCCTTCACCTTCATAAACCTAAAATTCATTTGAATCGCTTGCTAAATCTCGATAAGCAAGAACGATTTGTTTCATGAGTTAATTTCACGCTTTTGTTTCATCTTACAAGTTTTTCCTTTTTACAGAGATAATTATGATTAAATATTTTGAACACTCCATTTGTTAAGCAGCCACTGAGAGTAAAATAGTAAGTTTCCAGTGGAAGAAAATATGCCAACAACATGCTGAAAGTTGAATGTAACTACGCATTTCAAACTGCATTATTCTTTGCAGAAATCCAATACCGATAGTTTTGTCTTTTCGAAAAACATAACTGAAAGAAGAATAATGAGAAAGCAATTAATTTGAAAGTTACTTATTACACGAACCTTTTCGCAACCAGGATTTTTACATGATACGCCGATATGAATATCTGATTCAGCTTCTTCCTTCATTTCTGATTTAAATCTTTCAACGCTTTTTAAGGCACCATCAGTTATTTCGAACTTTATTGCTTTCATTATCTCCAAAGAATCGTGTCTAGCTGCAGGTTTATTCAAACCACTCCAAACGATTACCTGAAATGAAGTGTATTGAATAAAGATCATGAAGGATACATTAAAGGCTTATTTCCTTATACGGATTTTACTTTCAATGTCCTTTCTGAAGAAACCGAAAGTCACAGGTGCAGAAGAGTAAGACTGAATGATTAAATGAATGATAATAAAAATCTCTTTCGGATGACTAATATTTCTATATGCAGATGCAAAAATACTGCACTCTCCAGAGAAACAGCGGATTTTCTGTCAAGTATTCTGCCACTGCTCTGAATACGGAAAATCTCTCCAGTGCTTTGGAACATAAATCAAGATAAACGGGAATAAAAAAAGACCCCAAACAACATCAATTTTTAACCAAACCGTAATTGAACAGTAATATGTCGCTTGAACATACCTCTTCCGGTGCTTGTTTTTTCTCCGATTTCTCGGGTTTCGTTTCTCCTACCGATTTCTGATTACTGTGCTGTCCACGGGTGCAGCCTTTCAAACTTAACCATGTGCTGAAGTCCGTACTTTTCTGATTGCAACAGCTCCAAATTTTATATGCATCATGGAAGTATGGCGCGCCAGGATGATACAAACATGAATCTGAAAAAGACATGTGTTTCACTACGAATATTTCTGCTGATAATGGTTTTGTATATTTGACTGAAAAGAGAGCATTTAGATGTAACGCAAAGATGAAAATAAAGAAGAACAAGGTTGATGCTGAGATCACACTTATGTAATGCGATCCATCTTGCGCAGTCTGAACTGAATGCCATGGCGTCATCTATCAAACGCACTTCTAACAAGTGAGATGTAAGCTCACAAACAATATTATTAATTGTGTTCTGATCGATATCGATATGGGAGAAAACAACTGAGTAATAACGGTTTAAACTAAAAAAATTGGAAGAATGATCATTAAAAAAACGGAGGAAAGTAAGAAACAAGCGTTTACTGTCATTGTTGTCACCAGGGTCGAACTTTATACCGCATCCTTTATTGTAGCAATAAAGTAATTTTTCCTCTCCCATTCACGACTTACTGTTGTAGCACCTAAAATGCGCACGTAACAGGAATAGTTTGAGCGCCACGGAAGAAACTTGGAATTTTGGTTCCCAGAAATATCTCCCTTCCTCCCCGTCTTCCTCCCTCCCCGCCACCCAAACTGTAGTGATTTTATATACTTATATATATATATATGAACCAGGATGATGACAGCTAAGAAAGGAAAAGTGTAGTGAGTGACGAGAGACTAGAGAAGCAGGAGAAATAAGAACATTATGTTAACATAAAATCCAGACATACAAAAGGTAAGGGGCGGTTTCCGTATGCCATGAACGGTTTGGTGACACTTTTGATGATGGACTTAGCCTAACGACAATCCGGAATTGTACGCTTTGTGGAAGGAATTTGGATTACGCAGATTGCCGTTTCTTTCAGGGTTCTTTCCGACATGCGGATTTCAGGTATTTTTACTTTTTTCCGAATTACTACTGATGTTGTCTTTGTTACTGGTGTTATAGTAAATCCTTTTATTTTAGGATTTTTCCTGGTCTTTTTTCCCTTTTTTTCAAAAAATTTCTTGTAATGTCCTGCATCACAGTATTCTAGATTATTTTTAAACTTCTATCGATTTAGATTTTTAGATTTTTCAGGATTTCCATCGTTGCCTTTGTGACATCTAATGTTTACTTCCGAAGCTCTGACAAATTCACGATATTCTTATTTGGGATAGGTAGTAATTTGACTTGATGTTGGCAACCACTTTTCTTCACTTTTTATTTTATATAGGACTCTTAATTGATTATAAACTACAACAGTTTGAACTGCATTCGTCTATAAAGATATGCATGTTAAGGATTGATGAACAATTGGATAATTTATTGGACAAAATTAGATTAGAGCTATGGTCGTGTTAATGTTCTGATGGAGCAGAACTGGCTTAAAGCTGTTGACAGTGAAGAGGGTGGTGAAGCTAGTGCCGAGAACAGATGTGATTCGCTGAGCCGTACACTAGATACAACACTTCCATGTTGACCATTGCAGTGATTCAATTTCTGATCATCACGTTCTATTTTTCGCCACTTTGCTCGACGATTTTGAAACCACACCTGAAGAATTTCTCTTTACATGTCCACAGGGATTGATTCAACCGTACTTGAACGTTTGCAAATCAATTATCTGACTTAAAATTTTACGTTTGGCAAAATCGGTAGCATATAGTACCACTGACTTCCACTTACCTGTACTCTGGCTTCTGGTAAATTTATCTTCATAGCAAGCTCTTCGCGTGCGAACACGTCAGGATAATGCGATTTGTGAAAAGCTGCTTCAAGTTCGTTTAGCTAAAAAAAATTTCCTGAAAAGCCAGGATAGTAGAGAGAGTTTCAAACATTAAACATTTACAAAGCGAAAGGTAGACAGAATGGATCTGGCACAGTTATATGAAATACATGTTTTGAAAAGATGTCTGGTTTCTGAACTTTCGAACTTTCCATAATAGATGAAACCGCTTTAGAAAAAGATTTTTACCAGAATCGGTTACTTAATTGATTTGGAATGGACTCCATACTTCTATTGCTTCAGCAAAATTTATTACGTCTTTTATTTTTCAAATGAATATTTTTTAGCGTGATTAACTACAATACCGCCTACTGCTATCCGTAACTCCCGGTACTATTGGCTACCATCTTTCCAACGTTATTTTTTAAATCCTGTTATTTTTGCCTTTTTCTCGTCACCCCTGAAACTTTCTAATACATGAAATGCTTATATTGATAGATATAATCTTAATAATATTAGTTACACTGTTTTGCATTGCTGATAAGTATAGTCCCACAACATACTTTCAAAATTATGCTTTTAAATCTTAATAGTACAATAACTGTCAAGTATGCAAATATTGGTGGTTTAGCTGGTATCATCACCTGCTAAGTTAAGGGGTCTTGACGCTTTAACCCAGATGTTCTTCCGAGAAGCTTAGTATTGCTGTATGCACCTCCACTTCTTCACTTCCAATTTCTAGTGCAAAGAGGTTGCTTTATAGTGAACTGTAAGTGAAGAAAACAATCCATTTTACAGACCGAAGAAGTTATATTAATTGATCCATTTCAGTATTAAGAAGAATTTTTAAAGGCCTTAAGATGTAATTGATGGAAGAGTTAGAAAAAGTCCTTTCAGTGAAGAATCGCAAATTTGTTTAAGGGGTTTTCGGAACACATAATTAAATTTTGTTCAGGATGAGCCAAATTGAATTACTAGATTCGGTCATGATAAAATTAGTTTATTTGTCGCATTTCGTTCGCCTTCATGAAGACAAATTGCATCAACTTAATATAATTCTTCCTCTACTTTTTCGTCATGTTGTCATCGTCGATCGAAACAAGATCTCGATTAAAGATCCTATTTAGCCTTCAGAACTGCTTACTCATAGAACTTCAGTGACCTTATTCAGAAAATGCTTGAAAATTCGAAAACTCGAAAACCTCGAACATTTGTTACAGATGAAGCAGTGAGGAGAGGAACAGTGTTTGGTAGTTACTAGGCTGAAGCTTTTATTTGCCCATCGCTTGGTTGAACATGAAATCTAGCACAAGCAGTTATCAAAGTCTGATTATTCAGCCATTACCAGCTGTTGTTAATGATATTATTCCTTAAGATTTTCATGAAGAACAATGTCAATAAAATCGCTCTTCGCTTCGCTTCTCATAAATCAACAGCATCTTATTCTTATAACTCTTGAATTTGTAATGCCATTAATAATAATGGGAATCTAAATTAAACTGTAGACTGGAGAAAAGAGTGATTCATTTCAAATTAAGTTCATGAACTGTTTGTGAACTACTGACCAATTCACTTCCAGTGAATTCCTTTTTTATCCCTAATGGAAGTTCATCTAAATCCCATCAATTTGTTCAGGGATTATCTCAAGCAAAACAGCTTTGTCCACCAAAACCTTTTTTCAGTCATTAAAACTTCATTATTTTTTAGTTTTGTATAAAAATAAAGATAAAAAAAAAACACACTGGGATTATTTAAGTTAATCGCCAAATATTCCAAAATTGATATAAGCCTAACTTGTTGCTGGTTGAATGTTGTTCGATTACGACGTTGCTTCCGTTTGTTCCTGTCATCGACAGCAAGACCCAGATACGGTGTTAAGTAGACAAAACAGTTTCGTTCGTGAACTTTTCGAGCATTTGCACAATCAGGACCTAAAAGCTTTTATATAAAAGGTAAGTTCAAAGGGAATAATTCGTCGAATACAGAGTACCGGACACCAATAAAAACAATTTTAAAAAGAAATTTCAACAAAAAGTTATTGTAAATATCTCAAAATCTTCAATTGGAACAAATTTGTGAAATCTCTTGCACCAGTCTTATATGGACCACGAATGGCTGCTTATTTAGTGCCGGCTTATCCTTTTTTTTTAATTGTGGCGCTTATCTAAAATACGTCACTTTACTTGTTGTGGGTTTTTTCCAACACCATAAGAATAACGTAGCAAATTAAAATTAATTTTCATCAAACAAACCATTAATGCAGTTCGTGCTATCACATTTAGTACCTTTTAATTTAGTTATATTTATTATTTGGTCAAGAAATTGTTAAAATTATTATTTCGTCAAGAAGTGTGATCTACAATCAGGAGTTTTAGATTGAAAAGATAGGATGAATTTTAACTGGTCTGATTTGTTTACTCGAAGTTAAAAAACTAATTCGCCAGGCAAGATTGGAAAAACTCCCTCACTCGTATCATTTCGAGTGGAACTGTGTGGCGGTATAGGTTGAAGTGGTGGTAGCAACGCTGGCCAAGCTGTGGATGGTGCTGCAGCACTAAATGCGTAAGCGGGAAACATCATGTTTAGAGTCTAAAAGTATAATACAAGTTTTTGAATAATCAATACACTATAGAATGCGAAAAAATACAAGGATCGGAACATACCGCCAGAAAGCTACCTCACTCAGGGTTGTTGAAAGCTAAATCGATCTAGTAACATTCTCAGACTATCTATATTATTGCATTGTATTGTAGTTAGGAATACTTACCAGAAGATTTCAAAGTCGTTATCCGTAATTATCTTCAGTGGCTGATCTTTCTGAGATAAGTCTATATAACCTTGTAGATGGCCAGTGTACTTTATCACCAAAAAATTACCCTTCCAACTTTCAGTCTTAATCGTTCTCAAAAATTTCTCTCTTTATTTAGTACTACACAACGTTGTAAACAACATTAGGAAACTTGCCAAATGAAGGTTTTTTCTAATTGTTGTCACCGATCTTGGTATCCGGATACACTTCTCACTTGTGCAATCTATGAAAGCATTCCAAAAATGTCCAGGTTAAATTTGCAAAAAGTTAATGTTAATGGTTACAAGTTTAACTCCTCCTTCTCCTCTTCTTGTCATCATCCTTTGTGGTTCACTTCATTCCTGCCTCAGTTGATTCAGTTATCTGATTGAGTTGTACGGCTGTCATTGGCATGCATACGCGCATATACTCCAAATAGAATTTACTTCGAGATTCACTTTCCAATTGAGTTAGACGCGCTTCGTTACTTCGTTAATTTAATTGCAGTTGAGATGTCGTCTCTTCAACTGCCTCCAGTTTATGATGGCTATCGATGGCATCCCTGGAAAGAATGGCTCTGTGAGTCATTAAGCTAGATATAATATGGGAATGGTGTTGGACAACTGAGCCGCTATTCGTAAGAAGATCGCCCGCAGCTTTAATTCCACTGTGGACTAAATCTGGGTAAACGAATTATTGTTCGTTCACCCATTTGTCATATAAAATATAAAATAATGAAAACTGTAATTTCAAAATTGTGCAGCACAGGGGATATAGAGATCAAAAATCTTCCAGAATTTTATTATATACAGGGAATTTCCGGAATCTTTGTAAAAGGCGACAAACACTTCTAGGAACTACACAAAAATTTATCTTGGAAATTTTATTCAAGATTGTAAGGCTGTATATG